CATAGATTTACAATCTCTGTGTTTGTGCTCTTCTGCTCCCAATTTCACTTGTGTGAACTTTGGTGAGTCACTTAGTCACACTAAACCACAGTTTCTTCCAGGGTGTAATGGGCATAACATTTCTTGATTCACTACATTAATGCAAAGATTTATTAACTAATTCAAAAATAAATATTCACTTAAAGAATTTTTTGCCAAGTATATTTATATGAAATTGAATTCTAAAAATGTCCTTATCATTGATGAGGTCGCAGTCATTGGGAAAAATTGTCTCCACATTATCTTTATCATCATTATTGTAAAGTAAAAACTTATACTTTCAAATCCTGAAGCCTTAAGTCCAGTACAATCATGCCTGTGAGTTATTCTTTGGTATTCAAAATATCGCTATGGATTGAGGTTAATAATAACCTATACGAAACTAAAGGTAGGCTCCACATAAGGAAATGATCACAGTTTTGTTTTTTTAGAAGTCATTGCGATTTTCTCCCCAACATTTGTTCTTATGAATTGTGCTTGGAATTGAGTTGAGCCCCAGTTTAGAGTTGATTTTGAATCATGGATAATTCCATCCCTATTGAGGCACTCCCATAGCATTTCCTCAAGTGTAGGTATCAGTTGATGAGGAGTATAATCAGTTTAACTTCATTATATTTGATGGGGAGGACATTGTGGTGGTGCACACCCTGCCTGAAAAGGCACAGCAATTTTGCTATAGTGGTGAAGGCCACTTGAGAATGAATCCTATATTTAGAATAACACAGAGCAAAGATAATTTCAGGGGTAAAAAGCAGAAAGCATCAACAAATGATTCTTGAGAGTAACTCTACTTCTGGACTTTTCGGCAATATAGATAAACCAATCTATTTCTCAAGCAGTTTGAGTTGTGTGTTCCATAACTTGCAACAGAAAGCATCCTAATTGATTCAGTTTAGCAATCAACAGTGAAGGAAAAGCAGCCTCTCTTTCCCCAGCATCATTCTCTTTCAATATAGCTGCTTTCAAACTTCCAAACAAAGCTGTAGTCTTTATTTGCTCATAACGTAGCTAAGAACTTTGTCTGCAAATATACCACGTGTGCATTTTCATTGTGAGACTTAATTTTCATGCAAATAGAGGAAACTAGTTTATATTAAGTTAAAATCTCTCAGTAAGAGAACTTTTTGTATAAGATGTTTTATCATAGGTTGGACCATGAATGTTTACAGAGTGTTGTTGCTACAGATTGAATGACGGAAAATTAGAAACCAAGAACTGTAACTTTAAAAACTGATGCCTTATCACCTGTTTATGATAATTTACAAAATATCACTCAAAATTTTTTTCTATTGTGACCTGATAAAGTATAATTATTTACTCGACCCCTAATATATACAAGGACCTATGCTAAATAATCTCTAGGATTCAAAAGAGGAGTTTGTGGAGATGTCTTCTTTCAAGTTACTTCAAATCTAGTCAGAGAGATGAGACACTTATGAAGCACAAGCGATAAATGAAAGACCACATCTTACCAGCTGTTGAATTATGCCTTAACCTCTAATTAAGAGCAGAAAAACATCAGTAAAGACTGAAGAAATCAGAGACAGACTCTCTGATTTTTATTGGGTTATGGCCAAGGATGTTTACATATGAAAGTATTAGATAGCGTGATGTTCAGTATCTTAATGACTGAAGACCCTCATGGTCTGTAACCAAGACTCTCACTCTTAAAACAGGGGTTTTTGTAGTTGTACTTAAAATTACACTTAGAAGATTCCTGCGTTAATTTACTATTCTCTGTGTGTTTTATAGACTGTGGATATAATCTAGCACATGCTCCGAGACACTAACATGGTGTTAAATAAAATGATGAACCACCAATTGGGATTTAATACGTTGTAAGAAAGACATTTTTCATGGATAATTGGCTTCTAGAAAGGCCTATTGTTGGAGTGGAAAGAGTTGAACTCTTAAAATAAAAAAACTTTGGGTTATTTCCTAGCTTTCCAATTTAGTAGTTTCGTGGACTTGGTCAGGGTTTTCTTTGAGTTTTAGTTTTCTTGTATGTAAAATGGGAATAGTAATAACATCTATAGCACCAAAATTTTGGTGGTAATTGTGTTTCCGTATAAAATATAGAATATAAAAGTACTTGTAAGATGCATGCATTTATATGAATATTAGTTATTATTGGTGTTGGTCCTAGGAAGTTTCTAGGTTTCTATTTTAATAGGTGGGGAGAAAACTTACAAAACTACTTTCTGGTGAAAGCTAGGTATAATAGAATCGAAAACTAAGAGAAACTTAGTCATTGATGACTAAGTTTTGTCTAAACTTTTAAGCACCCAATAGAATACCTCAGTCAAATCTGTAACAAAAAGATTTTTTTTTTAATACTATAAAGCAAATAAATTCCTTGGTCTTCTAGTATAAGGGAAAATCTCCACACAAAGCTGCTTCTAAAATATCAGTAAATGTTGAAAGTTGAACTGGTTGGAGCTCTGAAGATTATATGCAGGAAAAACTTCACAAATAACAAAAGGAGCCAAGTCTAACTCTGTATGGAAGAGCACAGTACAAGCTGTGACCTTCTCATTTCCAATTTTATAGTCACTTTTGTTTAGCACTTTTAAGCAATGCAACCCACTTCCTAGAAATATCAGAAAAGGCGACGTAAGAACAAAATGGGAGTAGAGCCCCTGATCAGATATCTCCTTCTCAAACTGAGTAATTTTGATATGTGTGCAATTTTGAAAACTAAGTTTATAAAGAGGAACCAAAAGCCATATTCTTTCCATGAAGTCAATTTTTGTAAATGGAGAGTTTGAAGCATTAAATAAATTTTGAAATCCTAATAACACGAAGCAACCAAGTTCAAGAATAGTCTAATTCTGTCTAAAGAGGCACAGAAAATTACGTGTCTCACCTACACTGTCTGATTATTGTTAAATCTAAATCTAAAAGCCAAATAGTGCTCTTACAAAATTATGATGCACGATAATTTTAGCCTCCTCTTATTTTCGCACTAACTGTTCTCAGATCCATATGTAGAAGAAAAACAGAAGGCAGAATGGAGATGATAGCAGTTTTTTTTTATTCACACATCATGAACTATTGCTGTTTTTATTATAAAGTATATTTGTAAAGAAAAATGGATTTTCTCTGGAAAGAAGATGTTTACTATATAATTTCGCTTAAATTGCAAAGAAAAGTGAATGATGAATAATTCACTGAGAAGTATTCTGGGGAATTTAAATGACAAGTTTACCTATTGTACTATTGGCTAATTCATTCTGCGTTGATTTGTATTAGTCTTTTCTTTTTTTTAACACTGCTCATATGTGCAGACAGGATGGGCTTATCACAGTGCAGAAAGATCATGTAGTTCTGGGTAACATTGAAATATGTTAAAGCTGGTACACAAAGAAAGATTCCAGACACATTTCTATCACAGTAGCAGCAAGGAAAGTATGCATATCCTTCTGTGAAGAAAATATTTCTTTGTTCTGTTTTCATCATGCAATTGTGGCACAGGGTCCACATGTTAATGTTGACCAGAATCTTCCAAGTAGAGAAATATTTCCTTGAAGAAACGTAGCATTATTAAGATAGAATTTCTATCTGAAGTTAAACTGAAATTTTCTAAATATGCAATGTTTCTTGCAGTTTCCTAATTAACCGTCGGTGCTTACGATGTTTATTACTGAAATTGAATTCGAGTCTGGAGGAAGATTAGTGGAGTATTCCACAAACATTGTTAGATCACAGAAGGAGAAGACTGTCACAGGAACCACCCCATTTCATTGACTACTGGAGAGATGAGGAAATGCACATTTTCTTGGTAAGGAAACTTCTACTTTTCTAATGGATATATACATCTGATACTCTTATTCAATATCCATGCTATAATTGTTCATTGAGGATCTTCTATGTGTCTATCACTTTGCTAAATTATGTAGACAATGCAAAATAAGAATAAGGGGTGGAGGGGACAAGGAAAGACAAGGAAATCATCATGCTTCAATTGTGAATAATGAGATAAAGTTGGTCTTTTATTCTTACGAAGCTTTTCGTGACTGTTATAGCCTAGTCTGCCCGTAGCTCTCCCTAACTGCACAATTTAGCATTTGTACTGTTTACATTGTTTGCCATATTTTCACTTTGTAGCATTATCACCCCATGGTGCAGACTCCTTAAAAATTGCATCTTCATTCTTCTCTAAACCCCATTACACTTAATACAGTGCTGAGCATAAAGCGTTTGATCAGCAAATTGTTGTTTGTTAGGTTAAATGTGGTATGTGTCAACTCAACCCACCATCACTATAAATACAGTAAGTTGAAAATAAGTCTATATACATTGCAGTTTACAAAATATAGAGGTCTCCTAGCATAGCTCTTTTCGATGGATGTCATCGAGATGCTTCAGTCCAGAAGCCTTTACCAGCATTTGACCAAGTCTTAGACTGTCACGGAACACAACTGATTTACACAGGGGTCAAAGAATAAATAGGACTGGAACATTAGAACAAAGACTTTCTTATGTTGACTCATATCAGGCAAATTTCAGTAAAAATTGACTTGCTTAAACTCTTTTTATAACCAATATTTTCACTTACTGCTTAGGCTTTGCTCATCAATATTATGATTAATTCTAAGCCATAAAATAAAAGAGAAAAGAATAATTCTAGTGCCAAGAAGGTAGACACATAACATAAAAATTCTTCACTGAGCTACTTCTAGCTCCTGATCGTGGTTTGGAGAATTCAGCAATGATTATTTATAAGGCAATTTTCACAGGTTGTTTTGAAAAATACAGAATTTTCAGCCAATTTACTCAAAATTAGAAGTCTTTTATTCGACCAACATATGTGGAAGGCCTACTATATGCCAGATGCTTAAACAAACGGAGAAAAATCTAGTTTGCTAGCAGAAAGGAGGAGTTAAAATTGTTGCTGCAGCACCCCGGTTACACTAACCTGAAGCTTTCTTGACACTGGAATGTGTTTGAGATTTCAGAGAATGCTGCCCTGGATCTCTCTGGACCTGTGCTTGAATAATCTGCTTTCACTTCTGTGTGCCATAGATGATACCTGAAAGAGACGGTATGATTATTCGGTTGTTTGGGCAACATTCAATGTAAAGTATTTTTCAAAAACTTGAGGGAACACACTCAAGTTGGTCATCTAAAATGCAACAGAATTCCCTCTCACTTAGCCATCTATGGCAAACGTTGGTCTCAGCTTATTGAATACCTGGCTCCACTCTATCAGAGGATGCTTCTGTCTGCAGTGGGTAACATGGATGACAGAAATTCCTGGGCATGGAGATTGTCGTAGATAGAGTGGCCTCAGTGACTCTTTTGAGTGGGAATTATGGAGAGAAAACCAAAAAACAATCAAATAAAAACAAGAACAGCTTCATCCTTCCAAAGAGCCAGGAGTAGAGCTTTGGACATAATGGTGGCAGTGAATAGAGGGAGTACGTCCACGGGATTTAAGCAGCTAGTTTTATTAGAAGTGTTAGAAAGTCATGTGAAAATATGACCTGAGGGATGGAAATGAGAAGAGAGAGCCACAACTACAAAAGTCTAATAAAAGAAATGTAGACTTTGGTAAATATGGTGGTTGGCTTCTCAACATTTACCCCTCCCCCTTCTTATTGATTAGGACCCTGAGAGGCAGTTGGAGGGATTGATCCAAGACAGCAGACCAATCAAGGTACTTTCATCTCCTTGACAATCATTGTTTCAGAACTCTAGTCCAAACCGAGGAATGAATCACATTTCTGGGATGTCAGGGATTGATTTTGGAAGGGGTGTGCTATCCCAATGAAACAACCAAATGCAAGGAGATATTTGCTTGGGAATTGTGGGAAAAATTTCCTCTTTCTTAATTGTTAGCCACAAGAAAAGTCTTTATTCCTCTGGATATGAATTTGCCATGTGCAAGAGCTGTCATTTTTACCACTGTCTTTTACTAGCTTCCAGATGAAGCTACACAGGAAGGAGAGTAAAGCCAAGAGAACTGCCAGCAAAGGAAGTCAGAGCTGTTGGATGGAGTCATATCTGAGGCCTGCCCTAACCTGTACTCCCAGGGTTTCCTTACACTTAAGAATAGTGGAGGTGAATTTTTCCATTATTTTCATCTGGAAACAACTGACATAAAGGACATATAAGAAAATCTTGTGTATTTTCCCTGAAGCTTAATGCTAGTACTCAAAGGCTAAAGAGTCAAATGGCTTAGCCTCCATTGTATTATTCACAACAACCCTACCTTAGGAAAACATTTTATTTAAACTGGAACAAAATTATTTCTTTTCAGAGTAGTTCAGTCTCTTTGGAACTGTCTTTGGAACTCTTTGGAAACTTGGTTTGCTCTTTGTTACCTAGAGCAGTGCTTTTCAAATTTTAAAACACATACAAATGAACTAAGGGGGGACTTGAGATTCTGTGCTTCCAGCAGATTCAGCTGTTGTTGATGCAGTTGGTCCATGGACTACACTTTGAGCAGCAAGGACTAAGTGGACTTCAGACTTCTCCAGATAGTAAGGTCAACAAAAATGAGTAATTATCAGACTCTGATCACGTATTGTACTATATTCAAAAAGACTCAATGAATATATCTACATAGAATTCAATTCTAAACAGACTTCTCTAGTACATTCATCACCACCTTGCATATACATTAAGAAAAAAATCTCATCTCACAAATTTTTAACGCAGTATGAGAAGGATAAAGTGCTGGAGGGGAAACTTGTTGATTAAACTTTCTTTTCCCACTTAATTCAATTTACTGAAATAAACTGACTTTGAAAAAATGCGAAAAACTATTGATACATAAATTGGGCAAAATAAACAATCACAAGATACACAGATTTATATGAAGAAGAAATGTACATAAAATGGTTTCTCAAGTAGCTAAGTCTATTTTTCTTGAATAGCTTTAACTGGGCCCTCATCCAACTGCTTTCATTGCCCTAATTAGTTGTCAACATATTCTATATACTCTTTAATTATTTGTATTGTTCTTTTTTATTTTTTGAGAAAAAATAGTACTTTCAATTGTGTGCTAAAGTGAAAAACCTATTAAAATGAGAAAATTTATAAAGATGCAAATTTTGTGATATGTTCCAAATGAATATTCTACAATTTTTTTCTCTATATTTGAAGAAACTGGCATATAATGAATCCCAGATCCTTATACTGTAATCACATTTGGAGAAATGCAAGAGATGAACACTTTTCTTTTTGTTACCTTCATCCATTTGTCTAATGTATAATGTATTATACATATTATATGTATACATATTATAAACATTAATTTCAAAGTGTTTTATTGACTATTTACTTATATTAGTTGGGGTAACTAGCAACTACAACACCTTAAACAAATATATCTTACTACAATAGAAACTGATTCTCACTCATTTTCCCCAGTGAAGGTCCTTCTGGTAGGAGGATAGCTCGCTTCCAGATTGTGCTTCAGGGACTCAGAATTTGTCTATCTTTTGTTTCCTCTTTCTTCTAAGGCTTTGGAATTCTTTGCTTTCAACTAGAGAAAGGCAAAAGGGAGAGTAGAATATACCAAGTTGTTAAAAGCCCTGGCCTAGAAGTGATATATCCCATCTGCTAAAATTTCACTTTTGAGAACTAGTCGCAATGCATTATGAGGGAGCCTGGGAAATGTAGTCCATGGGTAGGCAGCAGACTCCCAGCAACAGCTCAACAATGTGGAAGGAGAAGCACAAATTTTGGTAGACAGATAGCCATCTTTGCTGTAATATTATGTGTACCCCATCTGTGCACTGGACCAGGTGAGTCACTGGAAAGCTGAGTGACACATTGAGCATTACTATCTAATGACATAAGCAGGAAGGCAAATTTTGAAAATGTAGCACAGTGTTGTAAGTATTAGGAGTTGAAAACACTAAAAAACAATGTTTAATCACAAAATTTGTTTTTTATGTAGTTTATTCAGGTGACGTTGGAAGAGAAACTGCATAGATTTAGGAGAGAGAAGACTCGGGAGGCCGTTGCAATTGTTTATGTAGGTCTTGACAAAAGCCTAAAGTCAGATACTGACAATGTGAAGAGAAAGAAGATTCAAGAGACATTTATCCAGTAAAATTAAAAAGATTGTGTACAACAAAAGAAAAAGTAATAGGTTCAATTGGCATGATTTAGTGTTGACCTTGAGAAACTAGATGGATGATGACATTGATTATTATAGGAAATTAAGAAATCAAAATAGAATTTGAGTGGATAATTGTGAATCAGTTCATTTAGAAACAACCAGTAAAGATATATGAAAGGTAGCTATGCTCTCTTTTTTGTAGCTCAGGAGAGTAATCAGAGACTGAAATAGAGAGAATTCAACAGCATAAAAATGGTAGCTAAAGCCAAGAAGGTAGCTGAAATTGTAAGGAAGAGCATGCATAATTAGAAGACACAACAATTAAGGACAAACCTGAAATTTGGGCTGTAAATGTAAAAGAAATAGAGTCAGAAAGAAATTAGATTTACTACCAGATTTTTGCTCATTGAAAGAAGATGAATCAAGTAACTCAGTCTTTAGTGAAGTAAATGTAGTTGAATGAATTTTCCATAATTCTTAGTATTTTGTGTGTCACAGACATTGTGATGGATAATTTTATGTGTCAACTTGTCTGAGCCAAGGGATGCCCAAGATAGCTGGTAAAACATTATTTCTAGTTGTGTCTGTGAGGGTGTTTCTGGAAGACATTAGCGTTTGAATTGGTGGACTGAGTAAAGCAATATGAGTGGATGTTATCTCATCTGTTTAAGGTCCAAATAGAACAAGAAGGCAGGGAAGTGTTGAATTCTTTCTCTCTGCCTGACTATTTGAGCTAAGACATTGGTCTTCTGCTGCCCTTGACTAGAACCATTAGCCCTCTGGTTCTCAGGCCTTTGGACTTGAACTGAGCTACACCATCAGCTTTCCTGGGTCTCCAGCTCACAGCTGGCAGATTGTGGGGGCTTCTCAGTCTCCATAATCCTATGAACCAATTCCTCATGAAAAAATCTTGTATTACTCCTATTGGTTCTATTTCTCTGGAGAACCCCGACTAATACAGACATATTTAATAACCAATAAAAGTTTTATCTCCTCTTCTAAATATGTACATACATATATGCACATGAATCATCCCAACCAATTTTAGGATTTCATAGAATCCTGGAAACCCATACATGACGGGTGTATTCCAGGTTAAGAATTCAAGCACTGTACCTAGTACCTGCCCTCCAGTACCTAGAGGGCTTAAACTATAAAATAATAAGTTTAACTTTGGTGACTTGCTTCTTTTAAGGCAAGGAAAGTCCTGAATATGTTTTTATCAAGTTGAGAAATTTAAAGGAGATACTATTAACTCATTTCATTGATATAAAACCTTTCCATCAGAAAATTCAAGGACATAATGGAATTCAGATTTTTTAATTTCACTCACTTTAATTTTCTCTTTTGTAGGAAATCCTTGAAATATTATAATGTAAAAATCCCTTTTACTTTGGGTGTTTTAGAGCCAGCTATATTACCTGCTACTTCTTTTAGAAGAATGTTGTCAGCTCCATTATTGTTTTCATTTCATGCTCGGCTTATTTATAAAATCCTTCATAAAAGGTACTGACTTTTCCTCCCTCATGTTTTCTATTAGAAAAATTTGACTTCTGCTTCTAGTTTTCTGATTATTTCTAATGGATTTGGAAAACAATATTAGAATGGATTGCCTGTTTATACTTATTTAAAAAAAAAACTTTACTATAAAAAATAATGATGTCAGCAATACCCTACATAGACCAAGATAACATCTATTAATGACCGAGTCAGTTAGAGGAAAACTAAGAGATAATCAGAAGAATGAGACTGATTTAAGTTAAGTGGATAGAGCATTGTTTGCAGTATATTTTCTAATGTTTTGTCCATTCTTGTTTAATTTTCTAGAAAGATATATTCTTTTGATTGAATTTTACTTTTTAATTTCTATCACACTTCCATTGTTACAGATTCTGATACAAATTAACATATTTCAGTCCTTTCTTGAAAGCTAGCTTAATTCATTTTCTATGTATTATAGATATAAATAATTAGTAAGAACATCAACTTTAAAACATCAGTGACTTCCTATTCTTGTCATTTTTCACATCTCAATGAGTAGTTTTTCTGTTGCTGTTGTTTTTATTTTATTTTATTTGGTTTTTGTTCTTTAGCAACAGTTACCCTATCTGAAGGAGTGATCACCTTGTACCTTAACTTCAGGGTGTCAGGCCCTTGAAGACACTGAAGAGACAACTATTGATGATACTCAGAAGAGTTTATTATTCCATCCTTAAACCTCAAAGGCAAGACCTCATTTCTACTCCACCCATGAGTGGAACAAATCGGTTCCTGATGTCAGTGGTCATTCATGTAGACATTGTTTAATTTAGTTCATTTCTATTAAATACTAATCATAGTTGGGCATGGTGTTGGGAGTTGAGAAATAACTAGGGTATATGTATTAGGAACCGTAGCAAATTATAGAGAAATTAATAGTCCCTCATTATAATACAAATTCATATTTCAGTCCCCATCCATTTGCCCAGTAGTTATTAAACACTTTTATTTGAAGTACTCTACCTCTCCCTAAGCCCATTCAGTCAACATTTTCCAGCTTTCCTTAATTTAAAGTGACAGCTTTCCTTAATTTCCCCTTTGGAGGGGCAATCTTGTAGAGCAGTAACTTTGAGAGGCAATCTTGTAGGCTATCTTTGAGAGCAGTAACCTTTTGTTTTTAAAGACTATTTTTTAAGAGTAATTTTAAGTTCACAAAAAAATTGAGAGAAAGGCACAAAGATATTTAATATACCCCCTGCCTCCCCCGCCCCTGCCCCTACACACATACATAAACTTCTCCACCTCTAGCGTGGTACATTTGTTACCAAGGATGAGCCTACATTTGACACATAGACACATAGTCCATTCCAATGAACAATGTTTGAGAGTTCCTGTTGCTCCACATCCTTGCCAATATTTGGTGTTGCCAGTGTTCCAGATTTTGGCCGTTCTAATATGTACAAAGTGGCATCTTATTGTTTTAATTTGCATTTCCCTGATGACATATGATGTGGAACATCTTTTCATATTCTTATTTGCCATCTGTAAATCTTCTTTACTAAGGTGTTTGTTAAGGTTTTTGACCCATTTTTTA